GGAGATGGCAGTGGCTTTGCTCCCTGGGTGCCTGCTTACCCCCCCCCACTTCCATTAGCTTTGTGACTCTGCCCAGTGGTGTTTGAGTGTACTGTATTGTGTATTGTTGAACAGGTGATGTACAAAACCCACATGTCCCGTCACACCCACTCACACAGATGCAGAGTGCAAACACGTTACTCTGCAAACTGTCACTCTAGGACCTGTCTCCAGGGCCCATCATCTTTGATCTCACACGGACACATCCTTAGGTTTCATCTTTAGGGCCAGACATTGCGAGGAACGAGAAGCAGCTGAACTGGGAAGCTTAGGCAGCTCCCTAATTTTCATGTAGGTGAGATGATGGGTTTGGGATCCCATCAAAACGCATCAGGTCTTTGTGAATCAGCTCTAGAGGACCACCTCCCTTCAACCCACCCAGCCTTCTCCCCATCATGTCTGCGTCAGGGGAACTTGGCTGCGTGTGTTCCTTCTGCTGTAACATTTGGTGCTGCTGGGGCACTTCTCACATTCTCTGTGTGCCGTCTGATGCCGTGGGAGGGACTCTGTATCATAGGAAAGAGAGAGTGTGTGGAGGACACAGGCGTGGAGGTGCTGGACCATCTGGCTATCCCTTATTTCTCAGCTTCTACTGTTGCTACGGGCTGAGTGTCTGCTGTGTGTCTTCTTCCTCCCCACGTAAACACCTAATGCATACATGTGTTGTTCCCTCAAGCAAATATCTAGATGGGGAAGCTGCCACCTACTCCCTTGATACATAACATCCATGTGATCCTCTTTGATTATGTCATAGGGGATAAGAGGGCAGTGTTTGAGCAATGAAATGCTGTGTGTCTCAAAGAGACTGCACTTAAAGGAGGGGGGGAAAGGGATTTGGGCATTAAAGGGGTGAGAATGAATGTTTGTTTGTTTCAAGGCAGAAACGCTGAAATCCTACACGGGGAATCAGTTGTGTTGCTGTTGCTTTGAACAGGAAGTCTCAATCTCTTGTGCCTTCCATGGCCCATCAATCCCCTGTAGGAGAACCTTAATCCCACTGGGATAAAAGCAAAAAGCCCCCTTTCTACAAAAAGGCCATTAGTGGCTTGTCTACATGAACCGTTTTATTATAGTTATCACTTATGGTTTTGAGTGCACAAAAACGTTGCAGTAGTATTAAGGAGAGGAAACAGAAGCAAAGCAGACATACATATGCATCTTTGTCCACGTTTCTGTAGTAGGTGAAAATTATTGTGAAAACCATGCATTCCACCGAAACTGTTTGCAAGCCACTGCTGGGATGTATGCCACTGCCAGAGAGCCACTGGCTTAGGTTATATAACTTATATAAATAGGCACAGTCTTTGGAAGAACGAGCTGTCTTTAGGATAGGAATCAGAGCTTAGATAAGTGAACTACAGTTCCCAGGATCCTTCAGCTGACATAGCTGGACAGTTCGAAGAGTTACAACCCCCAAAGAAACAGTTTATTTCCCCCAAAAGTCTGATAGGTAATATTATGTGCTATTCAGTTGCTTCCAACTAACAGTAATCCTATGATTTAGTCACTTCCAAAAGATCTCATCCTTAACAGCCTTGGTCAGGTCTTAACAGACTCAAGGCTGTGTTTACCTTTATTGCGTCAATCCATCTCCTGTCCCCTCTTCTTCTTTTCCCGTTGCCGTCAGCTGTTGCTGGCATTATTGCTTTTTTCCAGGGAGCCTTGCCTTCTCATGATATGCCCAAAGTATGATAACCCCACTTCAGTCATTTTAATGATACTGTGCTGATAAATGTACTCTGGCACACATCCCGCAAATGTTCTAGGAGCACTAGCAAGCAGCCAGCCTTCTAAATAGAAGAACAAATGTGTTCTTATCTATTCGAATAGCTCTCCAGTTGAGATTGGGTTTAAAGAATGAGTCCAAAGGAGCCAACGGAATGGGATTTGCGGACCTCTAGGACTAGAAAGCTAATGACACCTTACAGACTCCTATATGTGGCTCGCCTGGAAGATTTTGAGGCTTAGCTAGGCCTAGTTCGGTCTAGCTTCCTGTTTGGAAGGAAATCTCCCAGCTAGCACTCTGGCAGGAACAGGAAGCTTGAGTGGAGCTAGGCCTAGCTTCGTCTCACTGCCTTCTAGTTGAGGTTCTTCTCTCAGGCGAGCCATATTTAGGTGTTTGCGAGGTAGAACTTCTAGACCTGTCTCTTATTATTCTCTGCAAAACACATTTTGTCCAAGGCAGCTATCATTATATTTTCACCACCTGGATCCTGAAAAGGGAGGAACGACTATCTGAGGGAGGAGTTGAACAACTTGCTGGGAGGCGAGTGGGAGATGATGCGTGGTGACTTTTCCTGTGCTGGTGCCCTCCAGTGGTTTTGAGCAGCAGCTTCCATCACTCCTCGCTGACAGGGCCTGAGGTGAAGGATCACGAGAGTCAAGGTTCCAAACATATGGAAGGCTGAAGATGAAGGAAGCGGCCATGGTTTTACCCTGGAGAATCCTGGAATTTGTAGTTTGTGGACACACTGAGAATTCTAGCACAGGATCCTAAGCACCTCCTTAAACTACAAATCCCAGGATTCTCCCAGGTGGAGCCATGGCAATTATGGTGGAATCATAGTCTTAGGAAGATGTCATGTAGAGAGGCTCTAAGAGGAATCAAGTTACAAATTTTCACTTGGTCAACTAGAAGCATACTAGGAGAATATATGTCTACCTCTCTCTCTTTCTCTAGCTAACCTAACTCAGAAATTTGTCCTGAGAAGGAAACAGAGAAGCTTCTCATCCTTTTGAGGAAGGGTGAGAGAAAAATTAAGTAAATAGCACAATAGCACTAAGAGACTGCCTTTAAATAGATCACCCTTAGCTATTGTGCTACACAAGGTCCTTTAGACCTTGATGCTGTTGGGGTTAAGTGGTGGAGCGGGTGGGTATAAACCAGCACTTCCTTGGTGAAAGGAAATTTTGTGGATCCATCTTGGATTGATACTGTTGGGGTAAGTGGTGGAACGGGTGGCTATAAACCAGCACTTGCTTGGTGAAAGGAAATTTTGTGGATCCATCAAGTCCTGGATTCAAATTCTGAGATACCTGACAACAGTATTTCCCACATCCTAGATAGTTGAGATGTGATGTGATTCCCATTGAATTAAAATTGGATGATCACTCCACATTTATACTCCTTTAGCAGTCAAGGGTACGGGGGATAGAATCTAATCCAACTGGAGTTGTATATTCAAAAGCAGTACTGTAGAGTGGTCATAGAGCTAAAGAGGACATTGAAGGTTCTCCAGTTCATGGCCAAACTGTTGCAGAGTTTTGAATGTGGGTAAGATTCCTCTAGCTGTGCAGCAGAAGTTCAGGGATTTATGGAGCAGATTAGCTGCCAGCTCCCCAGTTTAGTCCACCTCTTTTTCTCTCATCAACTGGCACTTACAGTCTCAATAACTCACTCTTGGTAAGAGAAAGAATAAAGAAACATTTTCATTATTTATTGTTCTGAACGGATCAAAACATGACTGACTGTTTTCAGCAAGAGGCCTCAGCAGATTAATGGACTCCAAGAGACACAAGAGAGGGGCGGCTGAAGGCTGAGATCAGAGAGTCAAGGCTCTCTTTAAATTTGGAGACATGGAAAGGATGATTGTTTAGTGCTTGATAGATTGATAGTACCTCTCAGCCACACCTACTAGAAGCAGCATGCGGGGTTGCAGAAAGTCTAGCACAAACATCCCTGATATAGGATACATACTGTTACAGAAACTTTCCTAAGTGGCCATCTACTCTCTGCTTAGGAACTTCTAAATTCTAGATGTACTAAGGCAGTCTGTTCCACCAGTAAATAAATCACTGGGAACCAGAAATCCTTGATGATCTATTGTAAATTGTTCAACATCCTATCAGTTGATCTTGGTCTCCCTTCTGTCTACATCAACACGCGGTAATATTGACTCAGTTGAAGCTGTGAGCGCTCTTGCTTTACGGCAGTGCTTTATAAAAAGGCCAGCTCTTCAGGAAACCGGAGTAGACAAGGCTGCATAATTTTAGAAGGTTAGTGGGAGCGGCAGCCTCTTACTGAACCCAGGGTGAAGGATGCTTCTTCTTTTGCATTTGTAAGTAATAAGAGCGCTCCCGCCAAGTCTCCTTCCTGTCTCTAAAAATATAACATGCTAAGGAAAGGTTTATGTACATAACTCGGCTTCCAAGAGAGGAGTGTGTGCCAAGAATCCAGGAGCAGCTCAGAGGTGCCGGCCTCTCCATCGGAAATAGGACCAGAGGCAAGCTCTGCCGATGAACCCTCTTCGTTGTGGCCATGGGTGCAAAGGGACCTCTGTTACGTCCTTGTGCAAGTGGAAGCCATGTTGCTTTCAATGGGGGCACATAAAGTCCAAACCGGAGATCACATGGACTGTGACACCCACAGGATGTTGCCATTTCTGCCACTTGAGTCTTCTGGGTTGTTCATGCATTAATTTTATTTATTATTGGCGCTTACATCCCACCCGACTTAGTGGGAACACTGCTCTGGGTGGTCATTACCATAGAAGATAAAATCTAATCCCCTGCCCACCATTCGCTGACGTAATTCATAGACAGTACAGCCCAAGCCCATGAACGCATGAAGTGGACATACCAAATAAAACCAAAGGAGTAGAAACCCAAAGATAAGAACAGACTTCAGGTGGCATTGGGACAAAGAGTGCATTTCCTGAGAGGGGAAGAATATTCTTAGAGGCTTCCCGAAGGAGTAAAGTGTTTAACTGCTTTGTAAAACTCGGGGGGGGGGGGGAGAAGATCTGCCAGATCTCTAATGGAAGGCCATGTCAGGATCTGGCCCACCCCTGGCAGCAGCAGGATCGGGACCAGGCTGACCCAGGAATGGCCTGGTTTTTGCAGGCTCAGGCCCTGGCTGGTGTAGCAGCTGCTGGGCCACTCGTGAGGCTCACCTGGAAACCTGGAGGGAAGGGCTATTGAAGGAGTGGTCCTCCCCCTCCCAGAACTGGCCTCAGCAACAAGGGTCTTCAGCTGTGCTGACTGCCTTGTTGCTCCTGAGTTCTGGAGTCTCTGTGTTCCTGTTTTGGCCCCTGCTTGCCTCTTGCATCTCTGGGTCTGGACTCCAGTGTTCCTGCATCTGTTCCTTTTCCTGACCCTTCCATGGTCCCTGCTTGCTTCTGCTGGTCTCCTGCATCTTGCCACCTTGTTCTGGTCCTGCGCCCTGGATCCCAGCTTGGTGTTCCTGCCTCTGCTTGTTCACAACCAACTGAGCAGTGAGTGTCTTTGGACTTGATACCCTGCATGGTGGATTGGGTCCTGGTGCCCTTTCCCCTGGCGAGAAGCTGCCTGGGACATCTTAGGCCATGACAGGCCCTTCTGGAGTCCAGGGGCCACTACTGAGAAGGTCTGTAATCTAGCTGAATCCTTCCTTGCCATCTTCAGGGTGGCCACCCACAGCGGTGAGGCCAAGGGAAACAGAGTGGAATGGGCAACATTTCTGTAGGAGAAATGCTGTAGGGCCAAGAACTGAGAAGTATATTCACAGGGATAAGTGAGGTAGAGTATTTTACTAAGGGGTTGACTCTGTTGGCTTTCTTGTGTCTGTTGTGAATTTCCCATCACTCTGGTTTGCTGGATCAGTTTGGACTCTTGCACTATCTCTAGATGTGGGCATGAATTTAAAAAAATGGATCGCCAAATTGTTCAAAGATTGCTAAGTCATTGATTCGTATTCATACAAATCAATGCCCCCAACGAATATGAACCAATGAATTTTTACTGATTTTGATTCATCAATTTGTTTGGCTATAAAACAGCCCCCAGGCATCTAAGGACACCAAAATTGTAGGGAAGCTTCCGCTAACTCTCCTTTACAATCCCTCTGTAATTATTGAAGGTTGGGTTTCAGATGTCCAAATTATACATCCATAAAGTCCCCCCCTGCAATGTTCCTCCCAGGCACCTAGAGACACCAAAATCACAGAGAAAGTTCTACTGTCTCTCCTCTACAAATCTTCCACGTTTTATGAAAATTGGGTTTTCCCAAGCCAGCTGTTAAAGGGTAATTTCCGGGGAGGGGGCATTTTGTGGGTGTATAATCAATTCATCAGAAAAAAACACACACATAGATTCGTAATTCGTGATTTGATGACCTTAACAAATCATGAATCAAACCAAATCACCATTTTTCTGATTCATGCCCATTTCTAATTATGTTTGTAGTGTGTTGAATCTTGGAGGAACAAGGATTTGCTGCCGGTACAGCAGATGATTTCAATCTTCTTGGCATCCCATTCAGTAGAAGAGGAAGAAATGAGGCAGCTTGCTGTCACAGTCTTTCCAAGTGTCTCAGGTTTGATCTCTCTGGCCCCAGGTATAAAGAACCCAAGTAGAAATCTGGGGAAGGCCACCTTGCAAGAAATCATGAAGAGCTGCTGATAGCAACCAGGACTTGAGAGGATCATTGGTCTCACTTGGTAGACAAGCACAATTCTGGAAAATGAGTTTGAGTTGAGTTTTCCTTCCATAGTTCTCTTATAATTTTGTAACCAGCCACAGCGTCCAGTCTCAAGTGCCTTAGATTCTGCCAGCAGTCTAGTGGAAGGGCTGTCCAAGGTCTTAAGAAGATTGCCTTGGAAGACTGAAGTGGAAAAAGATGGTAGTGGTTGTTGACTTCTATGGGTCCAGGAACTTCAAAGCCCTGGCATGTCAGGTTTCCATTTTAATTTATATGTAGCTGGCCTGCGTTCTGTCATTTTCAACAACAGTCTTGTGCTTTGAATCAACTCCTGGACAGAGAAAGTACTTCAGTAATACTCTAAAAGTACTCTTTTTCTTTTTCTTTTTCCTGGCCTGTAGAGGATAAATGTGAAAAACTATTTTCTGGTTAACTTCTGGATGCCAGATGAATGTTGAAACTATTTTAAAAGTAAGTTGGCAACCTAGGTGTATTGTTTTGAATGTGAGTGACACAAACACGCACATCTCCTCGTCTACCAGATGTCAGATGGACTTTCAAACAGACCTGAAATCTCAGCTGGTGTTCCTTCTCTGCTTCTCATGGTGTCAAGGCAGAGAAGCAGATAAGGTTGAGTGACAGGGAAAGTGGGATCTTGGAGGGGAGTGAATTTGCTCCTGTGCTTTCCTGAAGATGCCAGCTGTTGAGGCTAGCTTGACACTTTATGCTCTGAAACTGTGCATACTTAAACAGAGTCAAAGCTTCCATCCAGTTTAGTAGTACTGTATTAATTACTCTGCTTGGAAGAGTCAGACTTCAACTTCAGCTGGGGCAATGATGGCTTTCTCAGCATTGCTGTCTGACACCCTTCTCAATAAAGATGCAATGGATTAAATATGGCATCTTCAGTGCCATCCACATTAAATCCATAGAGAGAATTTCCTCTACCTAAAGACCCTTGGGAAGTACAGTTTGATGAATTTTGGGGTGATGGTTAGGATCTGTAATGGCGAATTTTCAGTACCTCATTGAACTGATACTCCTAATAGTCTCCAGAAACCATGGTGGTTGTGATTGATTATTGATATATGCTAGCAGTGTAAAAATGAATCCATTGTGTAATAAATGGACAGTGATTTCCAGACTTCTCCTGATCTGCTACAGAAGAGGCAAAGGTTGATAGCGTAGATTTCAGGTTTGATCCTTTATACATCTGGTGTAGATATACCAAAAACCATCAGGTCTGGATGCATATCTTGCTCAAGGTTCTTTGGTTGGCTGCCCAAGTGGTGTTGAACTGTTATTCCCAGACAGCATGATTAATGGTCAAGGTTGATGGGAGTCGTAGGTCAACAACATCTGGAGGCCCAAGATCAGGGCCTGCTGCAGCCTGTCCTGACTCAGATAGACATTTTCATCTGTTCCAGTGGTTCTCAAACTTGGCTCTCCAGATGTTCTTAGCCTACAACTCCCAGAAATCCTAACTAGCTCAGCTAGTGGTGAAGGCTTCTGGGAGCTGCAGTCCAAGAACATCTGGGAATCCAAGGTTGAGAACGACTGATCTACACCATCATTGTCTTCTCCTCCTCCTCCTTGTTCTGGATGAATAATGGACTGTGTTCCAGATCCCTCATCATTGTCTTCTCCTCCTCCTCCTCCTTGTTCCGGATGAATAATGGACTGTGTTCCAGATCCCTACAGCCATGGCTTATTATCGTGGTCTCTCTTACTGCGTGCCACATGTCTCCTCCTTTGAAAGTATCCATGAGACTCTTTCGGGAAGATGCATATCTTGGTGCTTATATTACTGTCTTTAGTGCCCTGCAGACTGAAGGCACGAAAGAACTAAACAGTGCTTGTGAGACTGGGTTTGTGAGGTCACCACTAAGAATCACTTTATTCTTGCTGGACATGGAAGGGACACGGCTCTTCTCTCCTACTAGCCATGGCTTCTGGGCCAAGTATAGTTTAAACCACTGGAGGGCAGCACAGTGTATAAGAAGAATAGGCATCAGGTGGAAGGAAAGGGATTTGATGCAAATATTTGGCAGCATCTGGAGGACGAAACAGGTGGGGCGAGACGAAAGAGGTGAACTGGGACAATGGAGCAGAGGGTTTCTTGATTTGCCTCTGCTTTTTCTCCGCAGAGAAGTGTGGCTGACATTGGTTAGGATTTCTTGGCAGAAACCTCTCTTGTTTCTCTAGAAAGTGTGAGTGTTGTGATGGAAGGTTTCTTGACATGGAGATGTTTGTACTTGGTGTGCTGTGGGAAGCTATGATGGATGTGAGTTTCCCAATCTATAGGCCTCAACACACTGTGTTGTGTCTGTGCGACATATGGTGACATCCACACAGTCTGGGTTTTTTGGAAGGAAGAAATAGTAGCCAGGACTAGTCTGCTCTGGATTTGACATTCATTGAACTGACATTTAAACTGATGTCCGAACCACGTCTTATGATGGGTGCACGCATCCAGATTGGTGGTGTAAGGAATGGCTGAAAGGAAAAGGCCATTTAACACTGGGCTGTAGCAAGATCGTTGTGCAGATGTGGTGGGAAGGTACATCTGGATTTACTGGAAAATTTCTGGCTGATCTTCAGGAGGCTGGCAAGGTTTTCTGACTCACAATGTAAATCTCGCCCCTGAAAAACCCACAGTGTTTCAAGAGGAAAGCCTTCCAGCACAAACTTAGTAAAATACATTCCTGAGTTAGTATGACTCTCTTTTTTTGTTTATTTTGCTTTTTTTCCTGTGGGAAGCAAGAAAGATGGAAAGCTGTGAGGTGGGGATGACAAGGTTGCAAGGCATAAATGAGATTATTTTCCCTCCCCTTGTTTTTATCCTGCAGACATCCCGAGCTGCTGGAAAGGAAAGCTGAGGGGGAAAATGATTTTTGTGTGAAATGACTTGAGAGGTTGTTTCTGATCCCTGTCACCAGCTTCTAGATTGAGCATGTATTTATCCTGTTCCTTCTTTCTTACAAAATGTTTCTCTGCCTTAGCCACTGCTTTGCGCTGACTCTTGTTCATAGGCTGTGAGACACCAGTGAAGAGAAAAGCAAGGTGGACATTTCCTTATTTGTGTCTTAGAACTGTACAACTAGACATCAGCCCTTGTCATTGAGGAACAGTGGAGAATCGAACTCAGAACCTCTGGCTCTGCAATCCAATGTTTACATTGGGTCCTTGTCTTATGGAATAAACTTCCTTCTTTTTCTCCAACAACGGCAGCTTTGACTGTTAGAATCTCTTTCTTCTTTGTTCAGAGAACCAGACATCAAGTCCAGCCCTTGTCAATGAGGAACAGCCTTGACTGTTAGAATCTCTTTCTTCTTTGTTTGTTTTAAAATCACATTTCTTATTGGAGATCAAATACCCTTCTGGTGCATTCTGGAGCCTCTTGTGGAGTGGGTCCAGTGGAAACAGATGACTTTGATTTCATGGCAGTGGTGAATTCACTCCAAGTTTTAGGCCAAACCTTAAAGACATTCTCCCAGGCTCTGAATTCATTTGGGGAGGACATGGTTCAGCACCATGGATAGGTCCTTCAAAGTTTGGGCTAAAAGCTGGAGAAGGCTCATTTCTCTGGGGAAATCAGAGTGCAGCCTCTGCTGCTTAGAAGAAGACTCTTCCAAGCCTCCTTCCTATTCCCCCAAATCCTGGGAACCTCAGAAAAGTGCTTAGAGGATGTTTTCAGTCCTGTTTCCACCACCACATCCAAACCACAACCGCTCTGATTTGCTGTCTCCTGATGTGTCTTGTAACTTCCATTGCATGTTAGCAAACCTTGGCATTGATCTTCAGTAGAAGGTTCCCCAGAGCAAAGGGCTTTCTTTGGAGTGGAGTGATTGGCCAGTGAGCTTTGCCTGTGCAATAATTTGCCTTCTTAGCACTCAGAACAAGCGTTGTTTTTTCTTAATGAACCCAAGCTTTCCTCTTACTAGTTT